TGAGCGTGCCAGTGGAGGTGTAGGTCTCCTCTCCTCACTGGATTATCCCTCAAATGTACTTTCTTTGACGACATCCCTCCAAGTTGTCGCTACTCAAATAAATTTTGATATTGTTGTTTCATTTGTTTCTTTGTATTTGCCTCCAAATGAGCACATTGATCAGCAAGATTTAAATAATCTAATAGAGCAGCTGCCTGAGCCTTTTATCATAATAGGAGATTTTAACGGCCATAGTCCACTCTGGGGTAGTAAAGATACAAATTGCCGAGGAAGACAAATTGAGCAGATGATCGAAGATCATAGCCTTTGTCTCCTAAATAATGGGCAGGATACTTACTTCCATGAGCCTTCAAGGACATTCCACGCTCTCGACCTTGCCATCTGTTCACCATCTCTGTTGCCATTTTGCACTTTTAGTGTCGGAAATGACCTGTACAACAGCGATCATTATCCCATTTTTGTATCTCTTGCACGAAGAGGAGCAAACCCCATGTCGAGACTCCCTCGGTTTATACTGGACAGGGCAGACTGGGAACTCTTCTCTTCCATTGCAGAGCTCACAGAGGAAATGGTAGAAGATGTGCATATCGATGACGCTGTGGAAGCTGTTACTAATACTATTATTCAGGCAGCTATGCTTTCGATTCCTAGAACATCAGGAAAAATACTAAAATATTCGAAACCATGGTGAAATCGCGACTGTCATGATGCACTGAAAAAAACAGAAAAAAGCATGGGGTATTTTTCGTAGATATCCTACTCTGCGAAACCTCATAGCCTTTAAAAGAGCCAAAGCAAATGCACGAAAAGTAAGAAGGCAGAGCCAGAGGGATTCCTGGATTTCATATGTGTCTTCAATAACATCCTCTACGCCTAGTAAGCGGGTTTGGGAAAGAGTTCGAAGAGCATGCGGAATATATAAAGACCACTCACTTTCCTTTTTGGAAAAAGATGGCCGAGTGATTAGCTCCATAGAAGAAATTGCGAATACTATTGGTGAGACATTTGCTGCCGTTTCTTCCAGCAGAAACTATTCACCTGCATTTCTCTATCAAGCAGCACTCTGAAATAAATCCCATCGCATTCAACTCTTCCAAATCTGAGCCTTACAATAGAGACTTTACTATGCTTGAATTAAAGAGCTTTATTGCAGACACATAGGTCTTCTCCGGGTCTTGATGGCGTGAATTATGAAATGCTAAAGCATCTGTCCTATAAGTCACTGAGTGCCCTTCTCACTCTTTACAATAGAGTGTGGAAGGAGCGTATTTTCCCAGTGCATGGAGGAGAGCTGTTGTCATTCCTATTGCTAAGCCAGGGAAAGATCCAAGGAATCCCTCGAACTATCGGCCAATTGCCCTTACGAGTTGCGTTTGCAAACTGTTTGAAAAGATGGTAAACAGCCGCCTAGTCTACTTCTTGGAAAAGAATGATATTATATCGCCTTATCAGAGCGGTTTTCGAAAGGGAAGAACAACTGTAGATAACATGCTCCTCTTAGAGACATCTATTCGAAAAGCATTTGTAAGAAGAAGCCACCTTGTCTCGATATTCTTCGACATTGAAAAAGCTTATGATAAGGCATGGAGATACGGTATACTCCGGGATCTTCACGAGAGTGGCTTGCGCGGCAACCTACCAATTTTCATTCAAAATTTCTTGAACACTAGAACTTTTCAAGTAAGAATTGGCTCTGTTTTTTTCGGATGTTTTTGAACAGGAAGAGGGTGTGCCTCAAGGCTGTGTGCTTAGTGTAACCCTGTTTTTAGTTTAAAAATAAACTTCTGTACTTAAAAGAACTTCCTCCCACCATCTTGGGATCTCTATATGTTGATGATCTGCAGATTAGCTGTCGAGGAGCAGACATGAGATACGTAGAGAGGCAATTGCAGATGGCTCTGAATAAGATCCAAGAATGGTCAAACAAACAGGGATTTACTTTTTCGAAACAGAAAACTGTGTGCGTGCACTTTTGTAGGAAGCGAGGTCTCCATCCTGAACCTGAGTTATATCTGAATGGTACAATTATTCCAGTTGCGCCCGAAGTAAAAGTAAAATTTTTAGGAGTGACGTTCGACCGAAAATTGACTTTCCTTTCTCATGTTTTAAACCTGAGAAAGAAGTGTCTAAAAAACACTAAATATTTTAAAAGTGTTGGCGAACACCTCCTGGGGTGCAGAGCGTTGCTCCATGCTTCGCATTTACAGAGCGCTTGTCCGCTCTAAACTGGACTATGGCTCAGTTGTTTATGGATCCGCTCGGTCATCAGTTTTGTTAAAAACTGGATCCTGTTCACCATCAAGCTCTGCGGATTTGTTCAGGAGCTTTCAGGACTTCTCCTGTCCAGAGCCTATATGTTGACTGTAACGAACCATCACTTTATCTGAGGCGTGAGCAATTGTCCCTCTTGCTATATTTTAATATTCTATCCCAACCTGAACATTGCAATAAGCTGTGCTTACTTGATAATGTATGTAACATTTTATTTGAAACACGTCCATCCTGTGTTCCTACCTTTCCTTTAAGAGTTCGCCCTGTCATTGAGGAACTTTCCCTCTCTGATATGCGCCCCCAAGCAGTACAGAATTTTGAAATTCCACCTTGGGAAAATTCACGGATTCAGCTTCTTGATGTTTTCAAACATCACGTGAAGGCGAGCACTAACGAGATCGTTTACAGACAACTCTTTGCTGAGCACAGGCACAAATATAGCAGTTATTATCCGATATACACAGATGGATCAAAGTCAAATGATCATGTCGGGATGGCTTTTGTATTTGAAGATTACATTGAGGGCAGATGCCTACACCATGCTTGCTCAGTCCTAACATCTGAACTAACTGCAATATATTATGGTCTTTTGTACATCTCGAAAGCTCTGCCACAAAAAGTTCATAGTTTATACAGACTCGTATAGTGCTCTTAAATCCTTGGAAGCTTTTCCCAACACTCAGAATCCTGTGGTAGTGGATGTTCTCAAAATTCATATAAATTTAACGATTCGAGGATATGAAGTCCTGTACTGCTGGGTTCCTGGACATGCTGGAATAAAGGGAAATGAGCTTGCAGATATCGCAGCCAAATCTGCTGTTGAACTGTCCAGTCGCCTTATCCCTTTTAGAGATATCTGCTGTGTCATCAAGGGAAAGGTCCGAAAAAAATGGCAGCAAATTTGGGATGTTCAGCTTCAAACAAGTTAAGACAAGTAAAACCTAGAATTGAGCATTGGGAATTAAAAAAATCGTAAGGAGGAAGTTCTTTTGACTCGCCTCAGAATTGGTCACACTAGAGTGACACATAACTATCTTTTAAAAGCTGAAAATGAGCCTGTTTGTTTTCAAATTGTAATGTTTGTTTATCTGTTCGTCATATTTTAATTGAGTGTCCATGTTTTAATAGTCTTCGCCAGAAATATTTAATAGCTGTGACTTACCTCTCGACCGTTTAATGTTTAATCGGAAGAGAGGTCAATTGTAATTTATTTTATTATTTAAAAGAGACTGGCTTTTATTACCAAATGTAATTTGTTTTGAAGACTGTGTCTTGAATTTTAATGTGTGCTTTTAACTTGTGTTTATATGACTTCATCCTCTGGATCCATAATCACTCACTACTCACTCACTCACTCTTCCACCCACCGTATCTGTTAACATAATTAATAGCCGCTTTAAATGCCTGCGAAATTAAAATTTTTGCGTAGTTCAGATGACCATCACTTAAAATGATACCCTGCTAAAAACAAAGGATCAAACGTGTCGATTCGGAAATCCGTCACAATTACCTTGAATAATTTTTTAAAAACCGCCCAAATTTGCTGAATTACTTCCAAACCTGATAAATTAAAGTTCCAAAAGCTCTTTTTTTTTTAAATATTATTTTCTAATCCATTGGATGGTATAAAGATCGAAATTCTGTGACAATTAAAACAAGGATATGAGATAAAATATCTATACTGAAACATAAAAAAAACCTTGCTTTCAATTCTGAAACATTAATATTTGAAAACTGTGTGCATCTGGAATAATCTACATTCATAGCGAGTACGTGAAAAATTTCAAGAAAGACCGGTTAGTAGAAAAATCAAAAATTGGTTTCAAGATTTCATCCAGACAGAGGGTACAAGTGAAATTCAAATTTATAAAAAATATACATATATGATTCATAAAAATGAAATTTAACTTTATAAGGTATTTCTCCTGCCTTCCTAGAGTGCCTTCGTGGTGTAGTAGTTCTGCACGCTGGGCCGGTATTCCAGAGGTCCGTGGTTCGATTTCTGGTGAAGGCGTTTGCTAATTTTTCATCTCTTCTGTTTCCAAAAATTACCCTAATGTCTCTACACCTTTTTGATATGATTTGTCAACTATTTTCATGGAGTTTCCTCCCATCAGTCTTCAGTTTCTTTATATGCCCCCCACTGATCAAGTTTGGTTTCCACAGTGATCGGGTACAGAAGGCAAAATGTTTGGTAACTTAAACCATTTCAAGTCCCAAAGCACAAAAGCTATTAAAGTTCTCTTCATGTATAATGTGAATACGAGTTTCCTTTAGAAAGACACGTGTATACGAGCCAGTTTCCCTTAGAAAGTCCCCCACGAAGGCATCCCTTCCCTTAGGCAGATAGCCCTCGAGGCTTTGCCGTAATTAAGTAACCTAACCTAACCTTTAGAAAGACATCCACGAGCATATCCCTTCCCATAAGATGATAACCTTTCCTTGTTTTACTATCATCAAATAAATATAAAAATCCGTTCGTTATGTGCTTCGTTATATTATTTATGAGAATGTTTTCTGCAAGTTTTTTTTTGGGGGGGGGGAATCTCTCTTATATATGTAAAATTAAAATTTGGTGTACTTATATATTTATTTTTAAAGTTTCAATATTTTTTTCAGTAATATCTATAGCAGTTTATGAGCAATATAAGTCAGATGGAACACAGATTTCACGTAAATAATTAAAATAATTCATAGGGAACTTAGAAAGTAATACAGAAATTCTAATAAATAAGAAATAAAATGTCTTTTAATTCCACATACAACATACTATATATCTTTGTCAAGATAAGCTCTTCGATTAATCACCTCCAGCGGTAAATAATAACTCTACCGCAACGAAAGTAGTTCAGACATGTAGAAACCAGATGCCTACAGTCTGCTCACTGTCTGATATAAAAATATTCTGACTCGGGTAATGTATTTGGACTCAAGGGATGTAACCCAATTCATCGTGAATGTTGGTGTGAGACCATCTATGGAAGGTGCTAGTACCCATTCCATGTTGTACTTGCACTCGGGTCACACCATTGCCATTTGGGTCGGAGCCTGATTTGCGTGCACTATTGTCCGAATGGTAAGCGGCTTCGACACCAGAATCTGAGGACGATGTGGCAGTATTACAGTCTCCTTTACGACGTCTTCTATGCTTTCGCCTGTGAGGATGGTGGTTCCTGCGAATCGCTGGTCTTTCCACGGCAGTAGTTCGAAGGTCATGGAAGCTCCACGATTGCTGACGACGGGCAACGCTACCCTGCGCTGGTTGACGATTTGGAGATCCAGACCTCTGACGGCCACTTGGACTTAAGCAGACTTCTGAGGTGTCATAGGCTGAATCCTCCGAACCATCGGCTGAAGATTTCTTAACACCCATAATCCTTGTTTTGACGCTTGACAAGAACCTGCAAAACAAATAAGCTTTGTTAAATGCCAATTTGGTGTTGCCAATTACCTTTGTCTCTAGTATAAGAAAATTTCAATTCACATAATGTCTCCAGAAAAGCCAAATCTATGCAAAACCCAGAAGAATAAGAAGCTAAAAATAACTCAGAAAGTTTCACCAGTAATGGTTTGCTTAATCTCACGCTGTTGAGTTATTTGATTTCTCAGAATGGGGTATGCGAGGTGTCTGTTTCTAAAGTTGTTTCATATCGGCGTTTGCTTTGAAAAGAATCCGTTGTTTGATTTCCAGCTGTTTTGATTCCAAGCGTGAAATCTTGCAGATGTCATAAAAAATTTCAAAGTCATTTAAGTCACGGAAACAAAGTTTTAGGCAGAGTTTTTCTCTTTCAGTCAGATAGCATTAACAGCTTTAAAATTTCATAATGTTACTCATTTGTTCATCATGAACATCCATTTCCCCTCACAACTGTTTGTTCTTCCCGTCATTCATTTGAATTCCAATTTCCGCCTTTAATCCGAAATCATTACGCTGGGAAGACAAGATTTCGGAATATTTGTATTTGATTTTCAGGTAGTCCTGCATTTCATTAACTCAAAAGGAGTGTTAGCCCAAATGAGCTATTAGTCTCGAAATGGGATTTTGTGTTGAATCACTATACACTACATACCATTTTTCAAATTGTTGCCAGGAAATACTATCGCTCTATTATCTTTAAAGAAATTAAATTAATGAGAATCTGCATGAAGGTATGAATGTTTTTCGCAATGTGAAAAAACAACGGAAGGGATATTAGGCTATTTTGATGCTGGAGACGTGAAAAATGAGCAATGCTCTCGCGGGGACTCGAACCTGGATCTCTCGAAATACGCACCCAGTGTCCTAACTGTTACATCACGAAGGTCAAGAGAGGAGGAAGAAAATACCTTAACCTTAGACACTCCTCTTCTTAAAGGGCGATTAGGGACTAATGGACCAAATCAAGGTGGTGAAGATCATCATTCACCACCTTTTAGTTCGGGAGCCACTGTAGAGACATTAGGCTGTTTTGTTGCTGGAGACGTGAAAGATGAGCAAAGCTTTCGCCGGGACATGAACCTGGACCTCTCGCCGAGTTTGCTAACAGTTGCACCATGAAGGCATACAGAAAGGAGGGAGAAAATATTGTATAACTTAGGGCCATCAAATTTTGCACAACGTAATCCTCAACGCTGAAAGGACACCTGGAAGCCCGAATTTTGAATTTCGATTTTTTTATGATCTCTTTCATATTTTGTAAAACTTTAAAACGAATTCTTCATTAACAAACTCAACGATTTGAAAGTGAGCAGTGGCAACACGGTATGGAATAAAACAATTTTGCGCGTGAGACTGCCTATCGAAAGTTCTAAAGATATGCTGTTTTTAAATACCTGCTGTTTTTGCTGTTGAATTGTATTTTACGGGGCGTAAGGGCAAAAATAGTGATATTTAATAAATAAAGTTAACACACAAAACGTTAATATTAAAAAGACAAAAAGCATTTTTTCTAACCATCTTACTAAGAAAACTGAACACTGGTATGATGAAATGAGAAAAGAGTAAAAAAATATTAAAATATATGCCGACACTTAATATTGCATCGGGAATTCTAAATTTTGTTAAATGAAATAAAAATGTTGTGATTTCGCTATTGAATTTTATATGGCTTGTGAAAAAAATTGCTCTTAATAATGAAGCTAAAACGGGAAAACAAATGGTTTAGCAGGAGTGAGTGCAACAGCAAAGTAAACTGCGAGCTCAGCAGCAGTGTAAAAAACTTTAACAAATCCTTTTAGGCGACCATTTAAAATCTGAAACCTTTCAGACATTCTTTTTGACAGTAGGAATAATTACAGTCGGATGTTTTAATATTACATTTAACTTTACATTGGCTATGTTATCTTACGGTATCTTACTATTGCATTATATTCGCGCAGCTAGTTCTTGCATATGTTGATAATTTTGTGTTATAAGATATTTTACGTTATTTTTCGTATCTAAAATGGTACACAACATTAATTATCTACGTGACTTAACACATTTTCAATTCTCATGATTGCCAGTCTTGTGATAGATAATCTTTAATTCATTTTACATGATAAATAACCAGTTATGAGAATGTTGCCAATTTTGAAAATTTGCATGATAAATAACTAATTATAAGAATATTGCCAATTTATAAAAGCGCATTTCTTTACAGTATAAATTATATTTTAAATCAATATAAGTACTTCTTAAAAACTTTATTTTATTTTTTTAATGATGTAACAACTCTATACAATTTACGCTCCTAATTCTCAGTTTTTATAAAATACTATAAGATAATTTTCTTTCATAAAAGACGTTTCTAGCGCCATATATTATATACTTGGCTGTTGAACGATAGTATGTTATGTCGCAATGCTATGTATGTTATGTCTATGAGATGCTATGTTATGTCGCCACGCTATGTCCACCTTTCGTGTAGGTTAAGTTACGTTGTGTATTTAATGCTGAAAATATGTTACATCATAATGTTATGTCGCTACGCAATGTCCCTATGCTATGCTGTGCTATGTCATGTCATGTCGCAATGTTGTGTCATGTTATGTCTATGCTGCACTATGTTATGTCGCCATGCAATGTCCACCTGTCGTGTAGGTCATTCCACACTGCGTATTTTTACGTTGTCAATATGTTATATCGTTCTGCTATATCCATATACCATGCTATGCTATGTCGCTATACTATATCCACCTGTCGTGTAGGTTACATTACGTTGTGTATTTAATGTTGTAAATATGTTATATGTCAATATATTATGCCGCTATGCAATGCCTATATTCTATGCTATGTTATGTCGCTATGCAATGCCTATGTTCCGCAATGCTATGCCATGTCATGTCTATACTGAGCTACATTACGTCGCTATCCAGTGTCATTCTGTCGTGTAGGTAATGTTACGCTGGGTATTTTATGTCGTAAGGGTGTTATGTCGCTATGCTATGCTCTGGATGGATAATGGTCCTGGACTATACCCGATTTGTCTCTGAAAGCCGTCCGGGTGTCCGACCCTGCTGTCACTTGTCGCTTGTTGAACGATAGTATATTTTGGTTTTAAGTTTGTCTAAGGAAAGGAAATTTTAGTTTCAAAGGATCGCAAATTGCTTAATTAATAATGAATTAAAGTTTACGATAGATGAAGGATTTGAAAATGAATAAATACCATCAAACTATTAAAACAAATCTCCTTAAACAAATTTTTTGAAATTCAAGAAGTTTCCTAATGACTGCATCCTCCTAAAACTAGGTTATCAGAAGAGAAACATGTCCCAATTCATAATTCTCAGTCATTGCTGGAAGAAAAAAGTTTCTAATGTTTTTAGTAGAAAGTTTAAGCTTGCCTACGTCATCTGATTTTAAAAAAAGCATAACAGCAATCTGCTTGGAAGACCAATTACTTTTATGTATAAATGTACAAGAAACCTCTTCCCTCATATTAATGCTGCACATGTAGCAGCATTAAAAATTCATGCGATTGGCTTACATCGCCTTGGGTGTCATATCTAGGCCAGCAATGCAAGTATTTAGCAATCTTAGTGACCCACCACACTTGCACGTGAGAAATGCTTGGTGAGTAACTCATGTGGTACGTGAGTGGATTATATAAAAATGTTTTCAGATCGTTTGACAAAGCTTTTCAAAGTATTTAAGTACAAATCAGTCATGGATCTTGCATTAAATTAATTGCTTTATTAACGCATTTGAAAATTTTTACAGCAAGCACAATTAAACGGCGTGTTCTGTAAAGTATATTTCTAAACATCTCACCACATTTTAAAAATTCAGAAATCAGTTTTATTACGAAAAACATATTAAATATAATAATTTGTATGCAGTCATTATATTTCTGTTCTGTAAATACTATACTAAATTCAAAATCATGTCGTTATACAAGCCGTCTTATTGCATGTAAACGTGGTATCAGTATTCAAATGATGGCGCATTGCATTGCTATTGGTGTTTCTTTTAGGTGTTTTTGTGACACGACAGCTACCAAAGTTGAAAAGAAAGTATTCTCAGTATTATATGGAATTAATACAAGGTACAAAACTCAATTCTGGGGCAGATACACAGATGTTTATGTATTTAAATCTTTTTTGGTAATATAAGTATTTTTTGCTTAAAAGAATAGGAAGAATATTTTTGTACTCAAGGAGCTAAACCTATGTCCTACGTCCTTAATGGATATTTCGTAAATTTAAATAATGGATGAGCAGGACAAAAATGCCAGAATATTACAACTGAAAGAGTACGTGTGTGTAATGAGCAGAATAAATAAATAAATTAAATTAAAAAATAATGATAAAGATAAATATTGGGTTGTCCGGAAAGTGAATGTTGGGTTTGAAGGAAAATTGAAAAGCAGGAGATTTAAGGGGACTCGTACACCTTAAAACCCATAAGATTTTCGAATATGTGACTGTTGCAAGAATTGGGATACTTATTTATTTTAAAAGCAATTACTTCGAACTTTTTACAGATGACTACATAATATAGCTGTTTTCTGAAATAGTGATCAGCAAGTTTGTGTTGCCACAAATATTTTTATAATTTAATCTGCTTTTTGACAAAAGTTTTCGTTATGTTTCCACCTTGCGCGCACAGTTTAAAACATTCTGTTGCATAATTTAATTCTATATTTAATATACAGCTTTTATAACATTTGGAAACTACTGTGAACCAAAAAATTCTAAGAATTTCATGTTAAATTTTTATTTTGTTTAAAGTCGAGTTTATAAAATGTATTTTATTAAAAAAATCTGTAATGTTTTGGTCCATAAAATTTTTTAATATTAAAATATTCATCAGATTTTAGGTTCAGTTAAAAGATAGGGCTCATATAAAGAATTCCTTCGAATTTCAAGTATGTACCATTAGCCATTTTTAAAATATCGTGCGCGCAAGGTGGAAAAAATGACGAAAAATTTGTCACAAAGCGGATTAAATTACAAAAATATTTGTGGCAACACAAACTTTCTGATCACTATTTCAGAAAGCAGCTATATTATGTAATGAGCTGTAAAAAGTTGGAAGTAATTGCTTTGAAAATAAATAAAATATCCCAATTCTTGCAACAATCACATATTCGAAGGGTGTTAAGAGGTCTAAGGTGTATGAGCCCCCTTAAATTTTAGTATACCATTTATTAAATTATATAGGTCGCATTTTCTTCTACAACCTTTCTCCATCCTTCAGGCAACTTGAAAATTCCGTGCTTCCAGAATCTCTCAGGTTTTTCAGCGAAAACCGTTTCTGCGTGATTTTTTTTTTTCGTCCAAAGAGTTGAAGTTTTTCGAATTAACGGAATTTTGTAATAATCAAAATAGGTGGAAATCAGAAGGCACGAGGTCTTGTAAAAATGGCGTAAGGGATAGAACATCCCAACTGAGCTCCAATAACTTGTATCGAGCTATCAAAGCCACATGAGGTCGTGCATTGTCTCGATGAAACACGACGCTCTTCTGATTCGCTATTTATGGACGTTTTTTGTTTAATTATTGTCTTTTATTCGTCTAACTGGGAACAATACTTCTCATAATTTATCGTTGTTAGGTAAAAGTTCATTATACAGGATCCCTTTCCAATCCCACCAGAGCACGAGCTTCTTTGGATGATGACTGGCTTTTGGGGCGGCTAAACGTGGTTCATTCCGCTTTCTCCAAGATCTTTTTCGTTAAACGTTGTCATAAATGATCTATTTTTCATCCCCCCTCCACTATATGCTTCAAAAATAGCGTCTCCTCGTTGCGTTTATAGAGTGAGTCGCAAATGGAAATGCGATCCATAAGATTTTTCTCCGTTAAGTTACGTGTCCACGCTTCACAAAATGCTTGTGGATGATAGATTTTGACATGGTGTTTTAATCTAATCTTCATCTGAAGGGCCTACCCAGGCGTTTTTGATCGTTAAGGTTGAAATGACCAGCTTTAAACTTAACAAACCACTTTCCCACAGTTCTTTCAGCTTCAGCGCCTTCGCCATAAACAGTGCATATTTTGTTTTCTGCTTGTGTGGCATTTTCCCTTTTCGGTAAAAGAAAATCATTAAATGCTTAAAATGCACTTTGTTACCTTCTATATTCGCAGGCGTAAAATACTGAAAAAAATAATCGTATCGTGACCAATTTTTTTCTTTTCGAAATATGCCTGAAGTATCGTCTTTTACGATATATACGTCTGTTACGATATTTTACGATGTCGTTTGTTTCCAGTCGTTCTGATATATTCAGACCTGTCTTTACGCCACCTACCAAAAATTAGAACGAACTTAACAATAACTAAAATAATTAAAGACGTATAATGATGTTAAGAAAGAAGTCAGAGTAGCGTCTTAGGATGGCATTTCAGCCAATTCTGCGTGGTAAATTTACGATTTAGAGCAGCTAGAAATGCATAAAGAAATGTTTTTAAAGGAATAAGCGTAAGTATTTAAGTGGTTTGAGATTTCATTGTGCAGACCATTTGCTATCAGGTCGATCTTCGATTTTTCCCTTACATCGTTTTAAATTTTAACTGTATTTCTGATGTTTCGAGGAAAACCTGTCAATGGTTTCTGAATCTCAAAACACTTTTCTCACCTTTAATTTGTTAGCAGACTCACTTTTGGATAATACTACATAACAAAGCCTTTATCTAACAAATGGGGTTGTCTGAAATTCTTGATCTTCAGTCTTAATTAATGATTAAAAAAGAATACTTACTTTCCTGTTTTGTGTTTGGCTTTAGTGAGGGACTGAATGCTGAGTCGCTTTAAACTCCAAAAGAAGCCTCCGCTGTGTCTCCTGGGAAGTCTGTCCTCTGATGACCAACGGATGACTTTGGTTTGCTGGACTCTTTGCGCGGGAAGAGTGGCGATTCCCCTGTTATATGAAGAAGACGACGAAGCAGATGTTTGACTGAGGGAGGACCAATTGCGCACGTGACCATTCTTCTGAAAAGAACGTACACCGTGCGGTACTGTTCTTGAGGAAGCAGACGAGTTTCGGCTTTCCGGTCGGAGATTGTATGGTACATTAATGGTCACCTTACCAGTGCCATTCCCTTTGATGACGCCTGAAGATAAGAGTAAAAGAATATTTTGAGAGCCAATCAGAAATACTGAAAATAAACACATACAGTTAAGTTTCAATATAAAGACTCTTTGCATTCTAAAAATGGATGTTATCAGGAGTTATCGCTATAACAAAAGAGGATTAAATATACTCAGCTATTAAATAAAATAGTAATAAAATAGTCTCAATGAGGCGTTGTTATAGCGAGTGTTAACTGTAACTTTCATCCCAAAGTAAAATTTTAACTGCCTAAAACAATGATTTTCAAATATTTATGATTCATGTGCCGTTGGGAAATAAAAATGCAACCGCATGATGAAGCTCTAGTTAGAGAATAACTAGGGAAATGACATACTATATATATACATATATACTTATTACCACGAACAATTTGTACCCTGTCAGATCGTATCCTCTAATATTTCATTTGAGAACCACTAATTAGAGAAAAAGTGCTTCGAGATTTTATATTGTATCTGGCGTGAAAAAGTGCATATTTTCTGGGTGCAGTGATTCATGCCAAAAATAAAAATACAGTAAGACCCCGCTTAACGCTGTTTCGGTTTAGCGCTCTTTTATTTCAACCCGGGGATTCCACGAAATCGCTCGCAGCATACGGGGATTCCCCGAAATATTATGCAGCGATAGGTTTCAAATACATATCCCAAACAGTGTACTTGTATTTCTTGTTTGGTGCGGCATTGTACAGACATATTTTGAAGGAGTAAATGTGGAAGATGTCGAAGAAATAATTCAAGAAGCAGCGGCTAGTCTTTCTAATGATGAGCTCAAGGAATTAACTGAACAAGAAGAAAACAAAAATGTTGACAGCAGTGATTCAGAAGAAGAGCAAAAGAAACTTTCGATGGCGTTTGTAAAAAGGAGTTGTCTACCATAACTGAAATATGGATCAATTCACTGAAAATGATCCGAATTTTGACAGGAGCTCAAAAGTAAGGTGTGGTGTTAGAGATGCTCTATCCGTTTATGAAGAACTTTTAAGAGAACAACGCAAAAGAAAAAGGCAAACAACATTAGATGCTTTTGTCACAAAAAGGCAGAACACTGAAAACGCGGAAGGCTAACTAAATATGACTGAGATTTTTTTTTTTTTTTTTTTTTTTAAGAATATTCGTTTTGTTATTTATATTTTGTTTTTATTTTTGCAAGAAATAATATTGTGGTATTAATTTGGGCTTTAAGAAATAAATGTTTGGTTTTATTTTTATTAAAAAAACATACTTTTTAAATTTAATACCTAACCAATTTCCTAGCCATCTTCCCCTAACCCCAATATTTACATGTAAAGATAGCCTCGTTTAGCGCTGTTTCGCATTACGCTCTACTTTGATGGAACGTATCCCCCGCGTTAAGCGGGGTCTTACTGTAAATGCAATACAATGTTGTTAACTCTATCAAAATATGTGATAGTTACAATATCCTATCTTCAATTATTCATACAAAACATAAGAGTTTATTGGTTCTCCGAATTAAATATAAGTATTAATTTATATCGTTACTGCTCTACTTATTTAACTGTTGAAAACGTATAGTGCCAAGAAAAGTAAAGTGATTAAAAGTGATTAAAAGAAGAGCTAGAGAGAGAGAGAGAGAGAGATCTTTTAATTGCAGATTTTTCTGTTTGTATTTCTCGTAACTTAATAAGTTATCAGGACTACTACTATTTCTTCTAGTTGCTTTTGCAAACATCCTGGAGTCCTGAGTAAGAACAGGGAGGAGTTTACGTTAAACTATGTTCGTGGGTTACAGCCGAAAACATAGCGGACGAAAACGTCGCGGAGAAAACAACGCGAGGCGAAAACGTCACAAAACATCGTGAGAGAAAATAAAGCAAAAAGAAAAGATCGCAGTTCTAAAAACATCGTGGTACAAAACATCGTCGTCGAAAATATCGTGGTAAAAAATAAAGTATCTACAAATCATCGCATGACGATAACATCGCAGACATGCTTTTTTCAGTAATGGTCAGACATACATTTTTCAGGAACATCGCAGACGTGCTTTAATAATTGTAAATGCATATTCCCATAACGATTTGTGAGTGCAAGACGGAAAGAAGGATAATTTTTACTTTCATATATTTTATTAAGTAATAAATTTAAAAAAAAAAAAAAAAAAACAGAACAAGACATTTAAACAAAATAATTTTCACTATAAGAGTGTCAGATTAACAAAGGTGAAGAAAATAATCTCAGAATTAGCAATTTTTTAGATAAAGTCATGCAGTTACTTATCTTCCTTTTTCTATTTTTTTTAGATTATACTTTTCATGAAAAATTACCAGTAAATCTTTATAAAAAAATAATTTATCAATGACCTTTGTTAGTTAACTATGTCAGTTTAAAATTCTATTAAGCGCTATAAGTTGCATTAATTTTCTATGCTTCTATGCTTAAGTTTCCATTTTACATTTTTAACAAATATTTATTAGTTAATAAAAAATATAAAATAAAGTAATAAAAGTAAAATTATTCTTCTTTCCATCTTCCACTCACAAATCGTTATGCGAATATCCATATACAATTATTAATGCCTGAAAAGCTCATGTTTGCGATATTATCGTCATGCGATGCTTTGTAGGTACTTTATTTTTTACAGCGATATTTTCGACGACGATGTTTTAAAACTACGAAGTTTTTGAACCGCTTTATTTTCCGCGATGATATTTTGTACCACGGTGTTTTAGAACTACGATATTTCCTCTTTGCTTTATTTTCTCGGACGATGTTTTGTTCCACGACATTTTTTTTCGCCTTGCGTTGTTTTTTCAGCGAAGTTTTCGTCTGTGATGTTTTCGGCGGACACCATGTTCGTGCACGTGTAGAAGATACGACACAAATGAGAAGGGTTTAAGTTCGGCTTCATTCCTTTGTCAAACTCGACTTTATCTCAGGAAGAGTTAATGTGCATTCAGTTCAATAGATGGCAGCACTTCACTGAAGATTTCAAAGGTTAGAGGTTAGAAGTTATTTGGTTCAAAGGGCGCGGGATCTTTTTGTTGTAAAATGGCGTCCAGTTCTTTGAAACGTTACATAGATGATTTAGATTCTTCAACAGAAGATGAAGATTTTAAAGGCATCGATACTAGTGACGCAGGTGAAACTGAGGAGAGTGACATTGAAAGTAGCAGTGAATCAACGGATAGCGGTGCTGACGATATAGGAAATGCGAGAGACTGGTGTGAAATAACTGTTTCTGGCCGATCAGGGCCCCCGCGGTTCCCTTTTACTAGTACTCTAGGTGTAACTTTTCCTGTAAACATAAACTACACTCCTTTAGATATTTTAGAAATGTTTCTGGATTCAAATCTAATAGATATAATTGTCAAAGAAACGAACATTTCTAGAATATTACATTTTTAGAATTTCGAATCCAAGTTGCAGAAGAACTTTTACATAAATATGATGATGCAGCTTCTGGACAAAAGAATGTTGGCAGACCACCTACAATGGATAACCCTGCCCGTCTTAGTGAATGACATTTTATATCTCATATTCCTCCTGCTTCTGCGAAACGCGAGCCTATAAGACAGTGCAAAGTGTGTTGTTCGAAAAAGGATAAAAATGGGAAAAAGATAAGGAAGGAAACATGATTCTGGTGTAGTGATTGTGGAGTTGGTTTGTGCTTGGAAAAGTGTTTCCAGTTGTACCACACAAGACTGAATTACTGAAATACTAATATGTATTCACTTTTATTTACTTATTTTTTTCATTTATTTATTTTTAGAAAATAATAATTAACTTTTTTTTTTCATTTTTAGAATAATGCTCCACTAGAAGCGAACTTTACAAATGCCATGTTGAGTGGCAGCCGCCTCAAGCAAATATGTAGTAGCTACAAAACTTTAAAAATTTTACCCATGTACTTTAAAATATCAATTTTTAACTACTAAGTATATTTTATTTTGTACTAAACATCTGATTTTTGCAATTAAAAAAATTGACAATTTGTGTACCCAAATCATCAAAATAACTTGACAGTTAAAGGGTTAATTACCCTTTATTCTCCATGGTTTACAGCTGCTCTCACACTTCGGGGTACAAAGACCAGTACTTGTGGTCTGAAACGCAAAATATAAGAACTACAATCTAACTAAATTAAATAAGAACTAAACTCAAATACTTTACAAACGCTAGTAACGCGAAGATTGGCCTTATAAACTTTACGTATGTAATAAGCAGAATGCGGGAAACTAATACATCTGCAAGTTTCAGAGAACTAAGTTCTGGCCTCAAAGGCAAACAGAAACTGACTGAAAAGCGCGCACGACGTAAGGTAGCGAGAAGTCTCCCTCTCTTTCTTGACTAAAAGCCACAACTTAAATACTTAACAGTTTGCAAGCTCAGTTTGCATAACTAAATGTGTTCGCGTTTATTCTGACCGGAAATGGAAAATGAGAGAGGATAGTAAAGTTTTAAAATAAAATAAACGATAGTAAAACTTAAAATCCTTACAAGTTCAACAATAAAATTACGAAGTTTAAACATCCGAATATTATAAAAAACCATAACAGTTATGTTTAAATCTTACAGTATTTTTACAGAATAGTCCATGTTAAAAGCACAGTAAACAGGCAACATGTTTTTATAGATTACGTTGCTAACACAAAAGTTTCCTCAAATAGATTAAATTACAAGGCTTCTTTCTCCCGATTTCGAAATACTGGGACAATAGTTCCAACGCGTTCGCTACTTACAGTAATGATTACTTACAGTAACTTTTCTTTAAAATTAAGAATTTTTTTTATGTGAAAAGCAATTTTTCTAAGATGATGATGGTCTCCTAACAGATGATGATACCATAACACCATCTCAATATCAGATAATGTTTTCTTTGTGTTTCTTAAAGTTCAGCCTTCACATGATGATGAAAAAAAAAATCATGTAATGACGCAGAAAAACATTTATTATCTCTGAATTAAAAGTCTGTTATTACAGAAAACTTAATTATTATGATTAACAACAACGTTCAGAAATATAT